AACAAGAGAGACACTGCAAGTGAGCAAACATGATCAGAGGTTTGGAATGCAAGCCAGAGGCTAGGCTCAAGTTACAGAGAAACAAGCGAGAGACAAGGGTGGAGCTCACAGCAAGAGTACTAAGTCCCAGCTTGAATCTCTGAAATCTCCAGATCAAGAAACAATCTCAGACTGGAAACATGCAGAGTATTATCTGCATAAATGTTTAACCTGGTGTTGTCTCCAGATGTTTTGGCCTACAGCCCCTCCTCACCAGTTGTTTTTCTGGCTAATGGGAATGGTAGGCTCCCCCCCCCCCACTTGTGGAAAGCCACAAGTTGCCTACCCCTAATCATAGACAATTCCGAACCAGGCAGGACAATGGTCAAACTCAGCTGCCCATGTCTGCTATGCCCTACCCAAGCTAGAGGAAACCATGGCTTAGCTAGAACTGGGCAGGGGAATCACTAGCCCACATATTTTATTAAGACAGAGATATGGGATGTACCTTCCAGATGTTGGACTGCACCTTCCATCAGCCCCAGCAAGCATAGCCAATGGTGAGAGATGCTGGGAGCGACAGCCCAACAATATCTGGAGGGCCACCTATTGCCCACTCTTATATTAAGGCCATCTGTACCTGAATCTAGTCCCAGGATTAAACTTTTTTAAAAAGGCATGTGTCACTTTTAGAAAACAAAGAGGGCACATGACTGCTTACTCAAGTATTAATAGAATGCAAACTCAACATAGAAAAGGAGGCTTTTGCTTTGGCCAGGACACAATACAGCAGGAGCCGACTTCTACAGGAGTGCATGTTGCATGAGAGCTACACAAGGAGCAACATGCAGGACAACACTGACACTTGCAACGGCTCTGCCTGCAGTGGCCTAAGGTGTATCCAGAGGGGCCCCCACCCTGTAAACACCCCTGTCTATTTGTGTTTGGGCGCAGAGGACATTTTACAGCAAATGGGCAGCAGGACGTCCACGCCAACCTTGTTAACTGCAGGATGTCACTGGAGTGCTATCGACCTTGTGGGTCTAAGTCACAGGGATCTGGAGTTCCAGAAAACTTTTATTCAATGTACATAATGATTTGGCAACCAGCACAAGCTGCCCAAAGAGCCGCAGATTCTAAATATCTCTGTTTCTGTTGGGCAGTACCCCACTTGTCCTCAAATAGCCTTTTTAATGCTACAGTCCTATGAGACAGTACCATCTATCTCGTTAATTTGCTTTTTGGCGCCAGGCCAAGACCTTTTTATTTAAACGATATTTTAACTGTTAATTGTTGTTATTATTTATTTATTATACACCTGCCGAGATGTATCCGGGTTTTTTAAATTTTATTTAATATTTGTTTATTTGCTTTGTAAGCCGCCCCGAGGCTTGTTGCAAAGGGGGCGGCATAAAAATGCTTTAAATAAATAAATAAATCTGCCTAACAGAAGTCACTTTACGTGAACATATATAACCTAGGAACTCTGATGCTGTGCATGTCAATTGAGTTTTTTTGCATTTGATCACTCCATATGAACCAATAACTCTGATTTATTTCAGTTCTGCCATTTGGATGAGGTGGTATAAATATTCTCCAAAAGATCTTAAAAAATAAATCAGTGCTAACACACTTTTCTTAGAAATGTCATGTTACACACCTTATAACTCCCTCTAAGCTCTGTCACCTGTCAAAGAAACATTCTCTGTGTCACAACATGCTGAATAGCTATCGTATCAAGAAAACAAACACGCAAGCAAACTCCAGGAAAAAGATATAAATAAATCATTTTTATCTGTACTGGGGTGAGGGGAAATTATAACACATTTCCAGCTTCTATGCGATTGTATACTATATGCTGTTATTCTTTTTCATGTACAATATTACTCTATTATTCTATAAAATATAATTCTACCTATTATTCTCCAAACACTTCTAGATACATATAATCTGAAAGCAGTAGTACAATCTAATGTGTTGCCTATTAACAGATGCATGGCAAAGCGACGAGTAGAACTGAAACAGAAAATCTTTAATTAATTTAATGCTAGAATTAATTTTGGGTCATCCAAGGTAAGTTTCTCATTTCACAATAACAGGTGTTGGTATAAGAGCAGTACATCGCTGTTAGAAAGTGTAAATTTGTTCAGTGTTTTAAAGAAAAAGATTTTGATCCAAGAGTCCAAACCATAAATGCATATTATGGCATATGGCCCAATTATGGCATATGACCTTCACTTAACAAATTGATGTCTCCGTGCATTTATTTTTTTAGTCTGCTCACACATGCATTTGTTTGGCTGGTATATGTTTTACACAGGACAGTCTATAATTTACATTGCAATATTTCTTAAGAGCAGCAGAAACGAAACCGAGGAGTGCTGAGTGTTCTTCCAAACAGAAAACAACAGCTTCTGAAATCAGTGCAGGACTTATTCAAGGGCACAACAAGGAGAAAAACTGGTTTTTCTGAAGTTTCCTGAAAACTGAAGTATCTTTGGAAATTCCACAATACTTCTAATTTGCTCAACAACTACACTATTCTTAAAATGGTATTTAATTGGTGCATGCTGTGTTTTTACAAAAAACAACTGCTTATAAGAAATGAGAAAGTGATTACAGTTAGAATAAATGTATGCATCTTTAAAACAAATCTGTAGCGTAGATACTATTTTCCTTGATCCCTAAATTAGACTTTAAAATATAACTATGCAAGTCAGCTAAATAAGAAACTTTGCTTTATATAGAGAACCAATTACAGAAAGTTAAGCTCTACAGAATTTAACTGCAAAGTTAAGCTCTGCATAACTTTGAACAATTCTAATCAGGCTACAATGCATTCTTACATAAGCTTACGTGCCACTGAATGCATTGGAGCCTATTTCCAAAAAGACATGCATAAGCTTAAGCTTCCCTCAAAAAGTTATTTATCAAGGCTAGCTGAAAAATTTTTTCACACGCAAAACCAAGTATGGGACCTACTTCACAGCTTACCAAGAACTGATAAATAGGCTTAGCTTAAATTATGTCTATTAGACTTCTATTAAAAGTTGTTGTACAGATTGGCACCACATTTTATGCATTCCAGTTTGTTTCTAAATACATGCTCACAATGCCTGCAGGGTCTGAAGTAAATGTGGTCTTGAAGAACATCTTTGCTTATAATTCAGATACAGCCATAGCCATGCACAGTTTAAAAGTATAAACCACATAAATACATATATTATACCAGGTAGTTTTGAGATCTTGCTATACACATCATTGTATATATTTACAGAGATCTGAAGAATCAACTCCTTCAATACTGTCTTTAACATTTTGAGTAGAAGCAATCCCCCATCCACAAAACCTAAGCATACTGACTTGCAGCTTCTGTCTCATTCTCGAAACGTCCAATGCGGTGGCAAATGCTAGGAGCATTCTTCCTGACATACTAGTTTTCTGTGTGAGGGAACTATGTGAGATGCGTTCAGTGGTGAGATCACTCCATTCTGAAGTCTGAAGTGCCCCATCCACAGAATTACCATTTCATCCGTTCGAGATCTAAATCACATTGATGTCAGCGTGATCTTCTAGTCCACATCTCTGTGCGCATCAGAATAAGCCAAACAGGACTTAGCTTCCAAGAGAACATGGATAAAATTAGGCAGTATCTGTGCTTATGACTACAACCAATCACTCCAAAATTAGCCATGATGGTTAAGCACTTTTAAGGCCAACTGATTTCAACAGGATGGCGTTAAGCATATGCCTAAATCAATCCCACTGAAATCCGTAAGACTTTAAGATAGCACACATATACCTGGGATCAAGAACTCACCAGAGCTTAATTTTGAGTAAACATATCTGGGATCAGACTGCACAAGTACAAATCTTTGGACAGACTCTATCCATTATTCAGCAATAAATCCCACCAGTTTTATTGACTCTTCTATGAATTGCAGATTTTGAATCATAGCAGCAATTTAATGGACCATCACTGCATACTTGCAGCGACTGAAGAACTGCTATAGTTTAGAACAAGGCATGGAAAGTGGTATTGTATAATAAAGGAAATAGCTGTTCACTTGCAATTTAATAAACGAGGGCAAATTAGCATAGCTTTGCATACTCCTAGTGTGTTCAAAATATAAAGTATATTGACAAAAATGTTTCAAGCAACATCTTAATAAATGAAGGATTTGGCATTTGCCATGAATTTACCACAGAAGAAACTATGTTTATCCTATATTGTGCTTCATTTCCAGCTTAGTACATTAAAACAGCAACTTCAGCAAAATACAAGTTCTTGTAAGAACATTTATTGAATTATTTAACAGTTCAAATTCAGTTCATATGGAGTTGATAGGGATTCTTTTTTTAAAAAAAAATCCTGCTTTTCCATGTAAATTGCAAACATTTGCAACTTTTACAAACAGTAAAAGCCATTCTGAGGTTTTCAGTTTTTACCTACGCTGTGTAAAATATTATTCGCATGCTTACTATCTTATTTACTTCTTTGAACAAAGAAGGTGTGTTCTAAATATGCACACAATCTATGGAATTCTCCACAACTTATGGTGCATGAAAGCAAAATTGGTATTGATAAACATTTTGCCACCTCTCCCAAATGCTGAAGCAGCCTTTGTTGAGTGGCACTTCTCAATTTGGCAACATCAGGGGTAGGGTGAAGTGAAAAGGTCCCTTTTCTTTCGTGTATGTTGAGAAATCTCCAAGCAAGGGCTAGCAGCAAATTGCAAAGCAAAGAGGCAGGGAGAGAGCAGCATGTTTCTTAACGTACAGCCTGGTACCATGCACCATGGACTCTGGGGAATAAGACCTATCATAACCCTCAGAATTTTAAAAGGTGTGACTTTTGTGGGTATAGGTAGGCACTACTCTCTGCATGGTGCCGGTATGCCTGCGAGGTCTCAAAGGTGTGGCACGGGGTGGCGAGGACGTGCATGGGACAAGGGTAAAGCTACAGTCTACGTTTCATGCATAGCTATTGTGCGCTCAGCCTGCTTCCTCACAGTGCTTCTTCAGGCGTCAGAATTGGAGCTGAGGTTTGTTAGCCTGGGGTCTGCGTTGATCTCATACCTGTAGTGGTATCCCTCCATGTGGTCTCTACAGGCATCCCTGATATTGTACATCCACTTTTTGATGCCTTTTCGGTTCAAGTATAAAACCAGGAGGAAAATGGCACCAATGAGGGCCAGGACTATCCCGAGGAAGACATAAGAAGTCTGGAGCTGGGACTGGTTATCTGGGAGCTTGGGGCAGCTCAGCTGGGCAAAGTCGAGGCTCACCAAGGAGCGATTCTCCATCTCCTCAGGGTAAGAGCACAGGAGGGCTCCCTTGGCCTGCACCTGGTCAGTGTGCTTGAGCCAGCTGGCCATGTCCTCGATGTCACAGTCACAGACCCAGGAGTTACGGCTGAGGTTGAGCATGGTGAGCCTGGGAAGGCTGCGGAGTTGCCGGAGAGTGTCATTCTTGAGGCACTTGAGGGCGTTGTCACCAAGGTTGAAGCTCTGCAATTGATGGAGGTTCCGAAAGGACACGTTCCGCAAACTCAGCAGGGAGTTGTTGTGCAGGTCCAGTTGCCTCAGGCTGGGCAGCTGGGAAAGCATGCCTGCAGGCAGATACAGCAGGTTGTTGCTGGACAGATCCAGGTGCTGCAAGTTCAGGAAAGTCCCCTTCTGGAGCAGTTTGGCCAGGACGGTCACCAGGCTATTGTTAGAGAGGGAGCTGCCCAGATGCAGCTCCTCCAAGGGGCTGCTGGTGTTGCCAAAGGCCATGGGGCTGATCTCGACCAGGGCATTGCTGCTGAGGTCCAGCTGCTTCAGGCTGGGCAGCCTGGCAAAAGTCTCGTGGTCCACCCATTCCAGGCCATTGCTGCTGAGGTTGAGGTGGCTAAGGTTTAGGTGAGGCTCAGAGAGGAACGTGGCCGCCGAGAGGTGACTGATGTTGTTGCCCATGAGGAAGAGGTTCTGCACATAGTGAGGCAGATGCGGTGGCACCTCGGTCAGGTTCTTGTTGATGCACTTCACTGTCCTGGCCACCTCGGAGCACTCACAGAACTTGGGGCAGGGTCCCTGCTGCTGCGCCCAAACCCGGCGTGACAGGAGAAGCAGCAGCAGCGGCAGGAGCTCACGCCCCCTAGTGCCTCGCCTTTCCCCAGCTGGTGTAGGGGGTGCAGCACCCCCAAGAGAGCACCCCAGCATCACCACCTCTGCCGGAGCCGGCTTTCTTGTGGCACACTCACACTGCGGCTCCTGCTATGTGGCACTGCCCCTTTTCCTGAACTCGCTGAGTTGCTGGTGCCTGTGTCAAGCTGGGGGTGCCAGAGAAAGGGAGCCTGGGAAAAAGTGTCCACCTCCTGGTGCATTCAAAGGCCCTGGGGAGTGGGGGAGGGGGGGCGATCCCTTCCCTTCCTACCCAGGGCAGCAGGCTGGTAGCAGGGCTGAGGACAGGAACCCCCTCCAGAGTGCTGAGCTGAACTGCCTGCTTGAAGTTCTTCTGGAGGTCCTTGGTGGTGTCGAAGTCCTTTGTTTCCTCCTTCCCAAGGCCAGTCCACCCTGAAAGCAGCAGCAGAAAGGGGAGATGAAAGTCACAAGGAAGCAATTTGTGCCAAGCCTCAGTGCAACAAAATTCATTTTCAGACTTTTCTTCTCTCACCTTCCTTCCTTCAGACCGCTTCCCAAGCTCATCTCCCCCACTCTACTCTGTCAAGCCATAAAGACCAGACTTGGAAGGGGGACACACGGGAGGCAGAAGTGATGTAGAATACAATCATGATGGTTCCTGACTGAAAAAGACAGTTTGGATTTGTTTTTCCATTTCCTACCTTGCAAAACCGGCATGAGTGATGCCTTAATTTAGCTCAATTTTATTCATTGCCCACACATGACAAATTGAACCTACGGGGGACTGGATGCATCTTCCCTTCCCTCTCAAACAAGGCAGAGACAATTGAACTCAATAACAAAGAGTCCAGGTGTATCTGAATTTGAGCTGTTCGGACAAAAAAGGATTGCCATGACTTCCTCTTCCAGTTTCTCAAATGCATTCAGCTGGCCCAGCAATGGAAACTGAGGACTGGGCTAAAGGAACTGTGCTTTGGTCCACCTCTGGTGCCTAAATTCTTACAGTCACTAAGGTACTTTGGCAACCCTTCTTTCCATCAATCAAAAGCTCATATACAGTTTATTCTGTCTTTTCCTCCTTAACAGTTTTGTTTCTTTTCTTTTGTTCTTTTCTGGTAAGAACAAAAACACAAGAGCTGGAAAAATACGGGAGGACTACAAATGAAAGATGAAATATTTAATGCTCTTTCCGAGAAAAATGTCGTTTATAAAGTCGGACAACTGCACAACAAAATTTCCCCACACCCCCGCCGTTTGGAAACTTACTTAAGGTGTGCTATCCTCAACGAACAGAACAAGGGGAGCTTCCTGCACGCCTTTCAGCGACTTCGGGGAGTGGTATTTTAACCCGGGTTGGCAGCTGGGCTCACAGAACTCGCGCGATTACTTTTCCCAGCCTGCACGAACGCGTTGTATGCCATCGTGCAAGTTTTAGCAAGTTCTGCCTGCGTGTCACCATGGAAAGTATCGGCTTTCCCTCGTACCTCTTCCCCGACCAACCCCTCCCTGCCTGCCTCCATTAAATCCCCCCACCAGGAAGAAACTGCGTTGGCGGGAGCGTTTTTCGCATTCCGAAGAAGACGATCTCCTCCCGAAGGTTACCTATCAGCATCCCACGAGCGTCTAATTCCACAGAACTCAGCGGACCTTAGTCCCGGGCAAAGATGCAAAGGACCGAGCGGCATCCTTGCTACGCACCCCGTGACTCTTCCGGCAAGAGCAAACCGCACGCGCTGCCTGCACAACAACGGGCACAGGATCGCGCCGCACTAGCATCAGATGCAGACTCTCGCTCTCCCCTCGTTGCGGGAGGGCGGTCAGCAGTCTGGCTCTAGGCCAGGCCACTGGAAGATCCCCCTTCCCTCCTGGATCGCAGAGTTTACAAGCGGCCGCGGGGGCCTCTCCTTACCTGGCCGTCCTTCCGTACGCCAGGAACTCCCGTTCCGACTAGTCCCGTGCAAACTCCACCGCCGAGTGAGAACTGCATGGCGCATGCAACAACTTTCCCTCCCACTCCTGGGCCATGCGTGGCCCAACCTCCGCCGCCAGGACAAACCAATGGCAGCCTCGGCGATGGGGCAGCCGCCCGACCCAGCGCGCCACGCCCCCGTGGCGCCTGGATTTTTCTCGCCTCCCAGTTCCAGCGCCGGCTTCTTCTGAGGCCTCCTAGAAGGTGGCAGGCAGGCGGGGAGGCGGCCAGAGCCGCTTCCTGTGATGGAGCGCTTTTCCTTTCTGCCCCCCTCTCCCAGCGGCTGGTTGAAGCGCTCTGGCGCCTGGTACTCTTCCTGCTCGTGTTAGGGAAGCAGCGACGCTGCTAAACGGGGGCGGGGGGGGGGGGCGCCCTTTAGAAAATGTCACGGTGGATGGAAGAGGCCTTGGGGAGCTAAAGGAAAGGCGCTCCGCACGAGTCAGATGTTCTCTCTTCGGTGTTAATCGTATCACAGCTCCTGAGGCTGATTTCTAGTATCATGCCCTGCCCCCTCGCAGCAGTTTAGTCGTTTTCCCCAAAGAAGCACAAGAGCAGCGCTAAGAGCACCACTTTTATCTTCACAACAACCTTGTAAGGTATGTTAGGCTGAGACAGTGTAGCCAAGGGACACTTGGAAAGCTTCATAGCTGAAGGTTGAATCTAATGTTAATCTGATGTATGGCTGATTCATCTTAATGGGTTTGCCCTAACATTGGATATAGCCATTAGTGGATTTGAACCCAGGTTTCCCTGCTCTTAGTCAATGGATGCTATCACTGTGGCTTTCACTAAAGTAAACTTAGTGCGTTCTACCTTGAACCAAGTCCTGGTTATTTCTGCATTTCAGTGGCTGCTATCTGCTTCTGGGTTTCGTTGTGCACTTCATAAGTTACCTGTTCTGAAGTCTCTAGAGCTCTGAGTAGCTTCTCTGTTTTATTTCTGCTCTTACCTGTATTTTAACATCCATATGATAAAGAGACATTCAAAGTGTGGGGCTTCTTCTGTCTTTTCCAATTCTTCTGGATGGGCTTAGATCGCACACTGTGGGGCCTGATGAATGCTGAGGAGAGAGAGAGATTTATTCATACAGTAACAGAAGACTAGAGGCACTCTGTTTTTACATTCATTCAGTTGCTGTGCTGATTTCACACTCATGACAAGATAAATTTATCTAGGAAAGAAAGAGTGTTGCTGTTACGTGCTGTCAAGTTGTCACCAATGTATGGTGAGCCGATGAATGAAAGCCTCCAAAACGTGCTGTCCTGACAGTCCTGCTCAGCTTTTGTAAACTCAGGGCTGCATTTTATTTTACAGAAGTGATCCTTCTCATGGTTGGTATTTGCTTTCTTCTGCATTTAACTTCCCTAGAATAATTGTCAATTAATTGTCAATTGTCTTCTCAAGTGAATCTTGCCTTCTCTTAGTGCTTGAGGTATGACAGCTTCAGTTTCATCATTTTGGCTTCTAAGGAAAGTTCTGGCTTGATTTGAACTTGATGGCTTACTTGTCCATCTTTTTGTAAGTCCAGGATATTAAAAAAAGCTCTCATTCAGCGCTAAATTTCAAAAGCATCATTTTCTTTCAGTAGCTTTCTTTACTGTCTAGCTTTCACACCCATAGTGATTGGGAATACAATAATGTGAATGATCTTGGCTTTGGTCTCCAAGAAATGTCCCAACACTTGATGATCTTTTCTGGTTCCTTCACTGCTGCCCTTCCAAGTCTCAGTCTTCTTCTAATTTCTGGGATGCAGCCTCCATTTTAATTTATGATAGAGCCAAGGTATGCAAACTATTTCACAATTTCAATTTCTTCATTGCTGCCGTTAAAAGTCAACAATAAAGAAAAGACATAGGCAACTGAAATGCATAAATGTGAGCACCCTTGGGACTCAGTGGTGCCAATCAGATATTTTTGCATTACAACTACCATAAACTTCAATCTACATGGCTAATTGCCAAGGATTTATGCTATATTACATAAGAATTACCTATCATGAGCTACCGAGATACTTTCTTGAATCTTCATATAGCCAGGAGGCCTTTTCTAGGACACTTTAGACACCAACAGCTGTAAGAGGTACATACTGCAATTGTATTCCACCCACTCTCCTTCAATCCCTTTGAACTATTTTTAATCTGTAAATGTTAGGCTTGCTTTGTTTTTTTAATATATAATTTTATTGTTTTAATCAGTTTTAATTGTGCAAGCCACCTTGAGTGCTACTTCCTGGAAGAAAGGCAGGGCACAATTACATCAAATCAAGCCCGTGCCTGAGAGGGAGGAAAGAAAATGACTTCCTTCTTGCCAGAAACTCGGAAAATGAGATCTGTATTGCTGGCAAACATGACTTGGGCTGTCGTGGACTAAATGACACTCAAGATGAGAAATGTCTTCAACTTCTCCTATATCTATTCAGCTTTTGGATTTCCAATTTTTCTATTGCATGTGCAGCCCTCTTTCAGGATCTTGGTACACAATCTACACACATGATTTATTGTTGTCATTATGACAGCTTCTCCATACTTGTGCCTTCTGGATATGTTGGGTAATAACTCCAGGCATCCCCAGGAGAATCCAAGCTGGCGGGAAATGGTCACCTGGTAGACTAAATTGACACACATGCATCTGGTGAGTGGCATGCACACTGTTTGGGTGGGCACTGATCTCCAGAGCATTAAATATATTACACAATTAAGAATGAAATAATGGCCACACAAATCAATGTTGCTAGAGTTACTGCTGCTATTGGACTGTTTGTATTATTTGTCTCTGTTCATGAATGGATAGTTCAGGCAACACTCCACTTCCCAGACCTGACATCCCAGGTTGTTGCCTGCATTGCCTGCCTGTAAGTCCACCCCTGTCCAGCGGGCTTCTCTGTTGTCTGCACAAACTTCAAGGGGGATATTTATTTTTTAATCTTTTGATTTAAGAGGACCGTTTCTGCTGCCTGGAAGTGTCTGAGGGACGGTTCGGCTATATATTCATTGTGATCCAGCCACTTTATTTCATAACACGGTTACAAAACAATGTTATCAACAAAATCCTTTTAAAAACATACATTGCAACTGGCAGCTTGCAGTTAAGGAGGTACTTGGAGGAGACA